CCCGCGGTCCGCTGGGTGACTCTCTCTCTCTCTCTCTCTCTCTCTCTCTCTCTCTCTCTCTCTCTCTCTCTCTCTCTCTCCAGGGCATGGGGACGGGTCAACGTCCCCGGGCCGAAAGGCCCAGCCAATAGTACTCTCTCTCTCTCTCTCTCTCTCTCTTTCTCTCTCTGGTACTGTCGGTACATAAGGAGCATGTTGCAGACATGTACATGAGAGCTTGTGGAGGCCGCTCTTGAACTGCTTGGTTTCATCCGATGGACCCAGCAAGATTTGAGGCCGTGCTGAAATGCTGCAACATGACATGCCACGGGGGGACAAACACATCAGGGGCCATAAAACAAGCACATGATGCTGGCACCTCAGTGCACAGGCTTGAAAACTAATGCTACATTGATCTGCAGGTATACAGGATATGAAATCAACAAACACAAAAAATGGGGACCCGAGCAGGAGCGCAGAGGAGGTTTTTACATGTATGCCAGCCATCAAAACAGCCTCGAAGCCCGTCGCCCGCGCTTCCGCCGCCTTGGCAGCGTCTTGCCTCAGCAACACCAAAGCCATTCCCTCCACCACCACTCCAAAAATACTGCTGCTTTTAGTGTTACAACTAGTACTACTATTGCAATACCGTTGCTACCAGCATTAGGTACTCCCTGCTGCTACTACTACTGCTGCTACTACTACTCCTACTGCTACTGCAACTGCTACATCCACTGCCACTGCGACTGCGACTGCGACTGCTACTTCTTCTCAGATTGGAAACACCACAACTGGCAGCTCCTACTTCTGATACTACGTTAGAAGCAACATGCTGCGACCATCAAGTCCACTGGGAGCCACGCTCGGTCCAACAGCAGGCAGACTCCACTGCCTTGAGTGTTTAAGGCGGGGGAGCCGGCCGCGAGGCAGATGCCGTTGAAGTAAGACTTTATAATGTCGTTGCATAAGGGGGTCTGAATCAAGAAGTAGAACTCACATGACTTTGCCCTCACCAAGAACAAACCTTCCAGTCCTTAAACTAGCGTCTAGAACCAAGCCCCTAGAATCCCCCCTCTGAAAACTTCGCAAACAGTCATGGAAGCAGCAAGTCTGCCACGAAGTACAATTTTTGAGCATACGACTCTGAGAACTGCTAACATAGTGCAGAACACTCAAAATCATGTTGGGATGGCTCAGAAAAGCCAGGAGCGCCCCTATGTTACAAAGACTTATCGCTCCAGCGTTGGGGAAAACCTTTGTCGCGCTCACATCCGAACAATGGGCCTTGTCGCGCCATGTTTGTTCCAAAAACCAAGACTATTCCACATTTTGTCGCGCCTAGGCCGCCCGGGCCGTGTCACAAGCCCAAGTTTTGGAGCCACGGAAAGGGTTGACATTACGTAAAGTATGCCTCTATGTGGCACGACATTGCAAATACAGTCATGTCATTATGACGTAATATAGGAGCCTTAACAGTTAGAATAGGGTCATGGGGTATATTTTTTGCTATAACTATAACAAGGAAGCCCCAAAAGAGTATAGATAATTATTTCGGACACTAAAAAAAGTGTGCGTCGAAGCCTGTCGGAGGTCTGCAGACTTGAGGGCAGCTTCCACATTGGCCGCCTTCTGCAATGATTGGTCCTGGTTGTCGGGTTTAGGGTTTAGGGCTTAAGGAACTTAAGGCGGAAATTGAATGGGGGATTTAATGTTTTAGGGGCTCAGGTGAAGTCTTAAAGTCCTAAGGGTTCTTTCGGGCTGGTGGTTTTGGAAACGGCATTGTATGCCAAATTGTATGTTGTCTGTTGAGAATCCTTTTTTCAGGTTGCCATAAAGGACTTCGAACGAAAAGGGGGTCGTTCCTTGAGGACCCTGGACCGAAGAGATAACTATCTAGAAACTGTAGACAAATACCATACAAAGACCCCTGAACCCGGACAGCAAGAGCTTGCTGCGAAAGTCCCAGCAGGTTCAACCGCTATCGTTTGTGTTGGAACCCACATGACTTCTGGGAAAATGTAAGCCCAGCGGCGCGGTCTGCCATAAGCTGATCATACTGCCACTTCAGGGATGTCAGCTCCCTCTTCGTTTGAAAAAGATTCCTCAGAATTGTGCGGGTGAACCAAGATACAGAAAGGATCGAGGTATGTCTTCGTAGCCTGTTGCTGTCATAGCACAAGATGTGCAGAACATACCTCGGGTCTCCACGAATCCAACCTCGAGGCCATGTCTACACGTTCACTTCGTGGTGGGCGTGGGGCGGCTACAACCGATGCCTTCTGTGGAGCTTCCGTTGGGTTGGGAAAGGTTTTCTGTGTAAACTTCAGTACCAAGATACGTCAAGATGATACTGCCCTAAACCCTAAACCCTATAAACCCTAAACTCTAAACCTGCCATGACTTAGACTACCCGGCCAGTCTGAGCAGTAACGAAAGCGACGACGACGACGACGACGACTGCTGCCCAAGCTTCTGCTCCAGCTCGTCTTTGGTCTGGGCGTCATCCTGCAAGGTTTAGGGGTTTAGGGTTTACGGGTTTAGGGGTTTAGGGTTTAGCCTGCTGCAGCAAGGCATGTCGACCCTAGGCCTAACTTGCTGGTATTCTCGAGGTTGCCCCTTTCCCCTCCGGAAGCTATCCAAAACCCCTGCTTTAATTCAACAGCAGCTCCACATTAATTTGATCTCCGTACCGTGCTCCAGGAGTCTGACGGTGACCTCAAAAAACCGCCGCCACCACCACCACCACCACCAACAACAACAACAACAACAACACTTACTCCTGCTACTACTGCTCTGATTCGAGAACGTGCTCGAGCCTCGGTCGGGTTATGGCCTCGTGAATCCCGCGCCCTCCGTGCATGTAAAGACCCTCCCTGCAAGGAACCAAACTTTGCCACTATTTTTTGCAAAGAAATCACCTGAAGCCCTACACTGTCCTACACAGGACAGACCCCAACTCTCCTCGGCAGCGGCTTCTCTTTGAGCCTCGGCCTGTCTCCCGGCCTCCTGTGCAGGCTGCGCTCGGCCGCCGTACCATCCCCCAAACACTCTGCGAACCGCTTGTTCACTTGTGCGACTCCGCGCGGACACGAGCACGAGAGAATCCTCTCTTCGCGTGTACCAATATCTGCGGCTGCGCGTGAGAGAAAGAGGGCGATTGAATGTGTATGATACGAAACATGTCGACATAGATGCATGTTTAGATGCATGTTCAGACACAGGCTTGCGGCATAGACATAGGTACATATGCAGGCACATAAATAGACATAGATATAGATATACCAGCTATAGATATGTGTACATATATATATATGTGGAAAAGATATGGGCATAATTAAAGATATGTATATAGATAAAGATGGGGATATGGATATAGATATAGATTTGACATTTAACATAGATATAGATCCAGAACCAGATCCATATATAGATAGATAGATAGATAGATAGATAGATAGATAGATAGATAGATATGTTAGATACAGATATAAATCTAGATATAGTTATGCATACAGATACAGGCTAATTGATATAAACATCAATGTGGATATCTGCGCATCTAATTATGCGTTCGGTAAGCAGGTGCCCCACCGTCGTCACTTCTCATTAATGATTCGGGGTACCAGTCCAAATGAATGCAGGGACAAGGATGGAGTTCGATGATTGAAGTTTCGCTGTCGACGAAATCACATGTCGAGAGGAGTAATGGGAGGCTTTCAACACAGCAAGATGCTTCATAAGGGAGGCTTCAAGCAACGCCGGTTGACACTGGAATGCGGCACTCTCACGAAGATCTGGCAGCTCCCGGACAGAAGTCAGTTGCGCAGCTATCTACATCCACAGATTGCTTGACATGCTGGGCCTGTTGGCAGGCGAGATCTCTCTCCAGCTTCTTCCGGGCTGCCTCTCGAGGGATCCGCCATCCAACGATCAACAGCACTTGCATGCATGATGTATGGTATGAATGGTTAAAAATCCGATGCAGCACACTTTTTAGCCCATACCTTCGTCGCCCACAGCGTTCGCCTTCAGACTGCGTCTCATGGTACCATTCTGTGAAGAAGGCGCCGTGCTTCTAAGTCAACAGCTTTCAAGTGCTACTCGACTCGGAAGCATGCGCCGACCTTTGCAGCTAGCGAGCACATCGTTTCCTGACACAATGCCTCCCACTTCGTCTTGACAGACTCTTCGTTTCATTTCAAGTCTTTCAAAGCCTCCATATCGGAATCTGACCACAGCTCCTGCACTTCGGGTTCGTTGGGGCTGCGAAAGACAGGCTGGAGAATCGGAAGAGCCATCGCAGGTTGTCCCGGCTTGGCAGCAGAAGGCGCCTGTGGCTCAGCCGCGGCTTCCTCAGTATCCTCATGCAGGCGCTTTAGTGGCCTAGGCCGATCTGTTGGCGGCGGGTGACGTCCAGGTTCGTCTGCCTCTGGCCTGCCCTCAACAACAGCCCCGGCAAGTTCCTCATCCTCCGCTTGCATATTCGCCTCGAACTCGTGCAGGGGGAGATTGAACCCGAGACGGACCAACAGAGCCCGAGCGAGGGCGGGCGTCTCGTGATAGGACCTGTTAATGGCATACAGTATAATGGCATAGCGAGTGCCTTTGAATGGGACAGTGCAGTGGATTTTGGTGCCATCAAACTGCTGGAGGGTATGGATGTCTTTCTTGAATCCGCGCAAGACCTTGCCTTTCGGCCCGATGCCAGGGATATGCTCCTGCAGCTCGTGCTCCTCAGTCCCCCTGTCATCTTGAACGAAGGTCTCACCGCCTTCAGTCCAATCTCCCAGGCCGAAGATCCAGCTTGGCCCTCTGTTGTTCACATCCCTGTGCGGCCTTGTGCACAGATTTTTGGTGACTTGAATGGACGTTGCTTCCCCAACTCCGAGCTGTCTCGCGTACAGCAAGATGTTTCCGGTCAGCCTGCGAAAATTGAACGTGTCAGTAGTTGGCATAGGTATTCCATGCCAGCGGGCACCTACAAAAAAACCCAGTGTTTTCTGCAAACTCTTGGCTTCCCCGGCGGGTCTAACATTCTCTCTCGACCTGGTTTCCCACTCTTTGTCGGGGATTCTGTCAAGGTCGGTCAGAATCTGCTGTCCCAGCTCGTCAGCGCTCATGCCAGAGCAGAAGGATGGTGAGTCAAACTCAGAACTCCGCGCAGACATCCTGGCCAGCTGGGACCGTGCGAATTGCCTGCCGAGGCTGCTGCGACTGTCCGGCTGCTGGGAGGACTGGGTGTTCCCAGGATACGGCTCTTCTGCCACCAGCATGACATCGTCATCTTCCAAAACATCTACCGACTCGTCTGCAATGACCTGCTGTGACATCTCTCGCTCGATTGGGTGAGGAACCTGGTCCTGGAACTCGGAATTTCCGAAATCACGGTCCCATACCTGGTTGGGACCATCTAAAACGACGATCTGCTCCGATCTTGTAGGTCTCGGCGCTGAAGAATCACTGGGGCAGGATCTCTGAAGCGACGGGAGAGCCGCAGCCACCACCTGCTGCGCAGCATCCTTCGTCCATCCTCCCAAGGCAGCGTAGACTTCAAGAATTGCAGTATGTTGTGCCCTCCACATCGCATGCTGCTCCAGGATCCGATGGATCATGTTTTCTGTCTTGGTTTTGTATTCTTCGGATAGCTTAATCCTCTCATTCAGCTTGCCCAGAAGACTCACATGCTCGCCGGCCGCCATTGCTGCATGCTGAAGATGCTGCATTAATTAAACACACTGAGTACTGTCCCAGAGCAGAAGCCTCAATTGAATGTAACACTGTGCGAAGTAGAGTTTTGCGAGAAGCACAGATGACATGCTGACCGTCGTGCCCTCAATGAAACTCATCATGTTCTCACTTTACCTCGGCCACAGCACATATATGGTCGGCAATCAACCCACGATCCATCCGTCCATGCAACGCTGCAGCTAAACTTGCAGCTCGCCCTGCGCTCCCCGAACTTTGGCCTGCAGGTCTTCAATAGGCTTCAGGATGGCTCAGGGATCAGGATGTGTCGGACGTGTCCCCGAGCCATCAACCTCTATGAACCTCAACATGCTTTCGTAACGAGATGGCAACATTTACACTGCGATCATCGTTCAGAGCCCAACCCTAGCGACTTTAGGCCGTGCATGGATTTTGCGATGGTGCTGCTTCAGACACACAGAGACACTCGAGATCACCTCCAAGGCCACGAGCTGCTGGGACGTAGTCGTCAACTCTGCCTGGCAACCAATGATTTTGCATGAGATGACTCGTCGGAACGTGCTTTCATGTCAAGCAGGGGCGGGTAATGTTCAATGCCCTCGCAAGAACTTAAGAACTGTGCATAATGCGGGAGATTTTGTGGCCTTCGGCATGGGCATCCTTCACAGGACTGTGATGTAATTGCTAACGGCAGCAAACCCTTACCCCGCAGGCTGCAGACACGCCGGCGTTGTTTGTTTGTTTTTTTTTTTTGTGTGTGTGTGTCTTGTGTGTGTTGTGTGTGGATATGGGGGTGACTGTGGATGGGTTGGTGGGTGGGTCGGCCTCAGCAGCTTCTGCGCCGTGTTCCAGAAAGCGGCACCTCGAATTGGGCTTGTTATCACAAAGTACATAAGGAAAAAGGAGAACATCGATTCGGCTTGAATATGTACACATGCGGTCTGACTTACATATATGTAAAAACGAATGAACAAAACAAATCCGTGAATAAATAATGACAGCAGTAAATAAACAAATGCAAAAACAGAAGCATAAGGTGCTTATAATATGCATATATATATATATGGAGAGATATATATAGATGTATGTACGTGCACGCGTGTGTACTCAAAAGCCATATAGATGTGATGACAAAGCTGAGTCTGTGAAACGCGACAGGGTTGAGGATTTGGGCAACTGCCCGGCCCACATGTGCAACCAAGATTGCGGAGAAGTCAGAGTCCTGCCGAGTCCTACCGACTCCTGACAGTATCCTACACTAACACGGTAGGTCCATCTGCTGTGCAAGCTCGGTGCAAAGGCCACTGTAGCAGCACTGCTTCCAGACATTTCGCAGGGCCTCTGTTCAAGGCGGCGCATCGTAGCAGTTTCGGTGGAAAGCTGCAGCTCGTGCGAGTCCTGCCGTGAGACAATCGATATCCGCTCTCAGCTCAGCCCTCTCAAGCACAAGGCCCCGCGGCCAGCCTCTCCGTTCCATCACCCATCGTAGACTGAAATCAATGCTAGAAGTGTTCTCATTGCCAATATAGACTCACAGTGAGTAGCATCACAATTTGGAGTGCAGCTTGCCAGTGGCCCCTCGCGACGTCCAGAGGCACATGCGAATTGCAATATGCACCACCACTGTATCTCAGTCTAAATCGGACTCTGATAGGAAGACTATGCTGCTGACCAGGGTGACAACGATGATGTCGATGACGTGCGACAACCAGTAACGGCAACAGCATCCCTATCATTCCTATCATCACCTTCATGATCATGAACGTTCCCTCCCCTGTGACTCATCCCAGATGGCACACCTGTTGAGGAGAAGTGGTTCCCGGTTTCATCTATGTCCTGAACAAAAGACATGAAAGGTGCTACGCTTGAGCGTGCTCACAAGTAACCCTGGCCTCTGCTGCAAAGAGAGAACCAACAAACCCTAGGTATGTATTGCTGGTTGATTCCGAACGTTGTTGACAGAGGAATCTCTTGATCGATTCTTGCCAAATCTCGCAGTCGTCGTCCCCGTCAACTTTTTGGTGGTAGAGTGGTCGTTGTCGTCGTATCAGTAGTACTAGTGGCAGTAGGTAGCAGTGGTACTCGTATTAGTAGCAGTAGTAGCAGTAGCAGCAGCAGCAGCAGCACGAGTAGTAGTAGTAGTAGTAGTAGTAGAAGTAGTAGTAGTAGTAGTAGTAGCAGTAGTAGTAGTAGTAGTAGTACTAGCAGCAATTTCATGTGTCGT